GTGGACCGCAGGATCGATTTATCAGGACAGCCTACAAGGTTATGCTGGCAGTTGGTTAGGTTAACTCCTAACGTCTTGTTCCAGTGATCGCATCTTCTTCTTCTGAATAAAAGTATTGTTCCGGCGATCGAGTCATCTTTTTCTCAATCATTTCCTGGGACTCGCAAGTTCGCTTGTATTTGCAACAGGAGGTATGTACCCCGCAGCTCCAAGACTGTAGTAAATCATTTGACTAACAGTTATTTAGTAGGCAGATGCTTTTCTTTCCAGCCAAGGAAGTCTAAAATGGTCTTGTTGTAGGTTGGCAGCAAACCTGGACCACGCAAAAAACTGCTTGGTAACAGGTTTGAACTGAGGTTGCACATACGCTGTAGTGTCCATGCAAAAGTACACTGTTAGGAGTTTTCTTATCGCAGTGGCCTAATTTAATGAAAAAAAAACGCTGCGATCTTCTGGCTTGGTTGCGTGTGGGAAGAAAAGCCATGGAACGCGTTATCGATCGTTCTTAATCGCTAAAGTCTCCCCCATGTAGACTACGATCGAGGCGACCAAATTGTTGTCGATACGAAGACTATCTAAGTCGCAAGGCGAAGCGGAACAGACGAGTTCTGTTAGTGGTCGAGTGAACGTTCATCAACGAGTGTCGATAACCCCGGCCTAAAACCGGCAAGACAAAGTGCTCGTGGCTCAGTGGTTAGAGCGTATGACTCTGATCAATGAGGTCGTGAGTTCGAGGCTCGAGTGGGATGCCACGTGACTCTGGGTACGACTAGATGATAACGACCAATAAGCCAGAAATGGCCATTTCAGTCTCTCGTGTCTTTGCCGGCAATAGTACGTGCTTAGTTAGCTGATTGCTACCTGCTAAGAATGTCAAAGTGAGAGATGCGGATCCTTTAACTTGAGTCTTCCACCGCTATGCTTAACATCTGCACTGTTCAACCAATTCGTGCACTAAAGTGTTGGTTTTAGTGTCTCAATCATGTACCCCGGCTGAGACTAGATGAAACAACATACAGATAAGCGGAATCATCTATTTTTAAGCCTAATTTTCAACCAGAACTGTTAAAATCCAACGTCGCATTAGCGATGGGCACGCTCAACCGCCTTTTTTAAAAGGAAATTGAAACTAGTAGGCAACCAAAATGTAAAAGGTACAACGCTTTTTCAAAGAACCATCAAGAATAGGATGAAACCCAAAGCCGAGGCCTTCTTGTACTGGTGGATAAAGACCCCTGTAAATCGAACGTCACAAGTGGAGTGAATGAACTATCTTTTATGGTACGTCGCAGGTCAGCCTCCAGTCACGGTTCGACCAATCGGACACTGTTTTATCGTCCTTGGATAAACCTGAGTTGTTGACAGCGTATAGTAGTACGTTTGCCAATCAACGCGCATTAGCATTTATAGATACTTTTTTCGATAAAATAGTTACTTCTTCCGTGCTATTCTCTCTATTTCTACGCGAGCAGTTTGCAGGACTCTGCTACAGGCTTCTGTGGAAAACTCCATCCAATTGGAAATGATCCGAAAGTAAATTTCGTGACTAATATCAAGTAAATTCATTTATGATGTATGGAAGAGGACGTTTAAACCTATGATACAAACTGTGTAGTAAATGGGTTAGGCGAGGGCAAAACGGACTTTGAATTTTATAGCGCCATCAAACCTGACGGCCTCTTATTCAGCCGTATGCTGTCAGTATCTAGTTTTAAAACGACATGGATGATATGCAGAGGGGATTTAAACTGCACGTGTTAATTGCTTTTTTAGGTAAATCACGATAAATAACCTGAAAAGATGGAAGG